AACACAAGGGGGTCGAGAGGATTTGAGCACGTTATGCAAACCCGAAACCCAGTGGAGGATTGCTTTAATAAAACATAATTCACATGACAAATAAAGGAAAATGTCACCTCTTCTTGATTGATATAGATTTCCTTAAACACGCACACTAGACGATAGTATTTTTTACTAGCCAATCAAATTCTGTATTTAGTCTACACTGCGTGTATGAAACAATATCAGCTTGAATCCTCGTAAATTTGACAGGGGAAATACCGATTTGGCAGCCCGAGAACATGGTTGAGAAGTTGAATCGCTTTTCGGGCTTTGTTGAGTTTTACTTGTTAATAAAGTTTCGCTCCCCCATTCTGAATTTAAAAAGTTAACGAATATCATAACCAATGTGAAAATAGCTTTTTAGGCTGAGAACGTCTCGTAGAGAAGGATATTTTACGAAAAATAGAGAGCCAAAACATGGGAAGCAATCAGCCGTGCACCGTTTGCTTCGAGACAAAACCAGTCTGAGGATGATGGTTTGGTGTGTGTTTTCGTTAACAATTTGTAATAAAGAATGTACTTGTAGGGGATTTTCTTGTAGAACTTGAATACTAGAATTATTCCGGAAAATGCTTACTACGCATCTTGTTGCATATTTTGTCGTCTTTGCTTGAGCTTTCTCGACGAGGTCGTCCACCTCATAAACAGAAGGGCACAACATTAACTTGCAAAACGGAAGGTAATTTTTGGTGCTTTTCAGTTGAACAGAGGCAAGTGCGAGGCAAGAGGAGCATAAATAAAATTAAGCTGCTCTAACCGCACTATTTTTCAAGCTCTTCCGCCCTCAGGCACACCTCCAATCATTAACCAATCACAGCGTTCCGAAAAAGTGGCGGGAAGCGCAGTGGTCACAGACCGTGCGCAGTATCAATACTTGAGCGACTACCGGTGAAGATAGTTCTAAATTTGATCTCCCCTTGAGAGTGTACTTAAGTAAAAGACTGCCAAAATATTTCATTTTCTGCGCGTTAATCAAGCATGAAGACAAGGATGAAAAACGGCGAAGTCTATAAACAAAATGAAGAACGAAAAAATGTATGATTTTAGTATATGCCACAAAAGTAAATAGCGCCTTTTGCGCGCGCTGATTGGTTAGTTCGGAGTAAATAGCGAGTAAACTTTCTCTCTATGCAGCCGATGAGACAAAATCGCCTGTTACGGGTTGAACTTCCAACCATTTTTCGGTATATTGAAAGAAATAAACTAAATTTTTGGTCTCTGTGTGGTGTAAACTAAAACATCAATTCACTTCAATGCCAGTGAAAGTGGTGAATATTTTGAAAGACTTTTTAGACAAACATATACTTTTCGTATAGCTTCTACCATAGACAAATATGATGCGACCGCCACACTGCTGTTAAAAAAACATTCGATGATCATTTGATATCAAGTGACCAACTTGATAGGTCCGTTTGTATATGAACGGAGGAACAGCTTGAACAACAGTGTGTTTCTTGTTCTGAAGGCTACAGGAAAAGCGCTGAATTTCCGTGAAATATTTTCAAATTGTGCAGGGAAGCGCACGTCACAACCGTGTTAGATAACTCTCCTTAAACACACCAATCAACCGATGAGAGCGCATGTAGGTACAAATATGTTATGAATGGCGATAATCAACAATACTGACTGATTATTTGTCTCACACTGTGGTTTGCCAGACCCACTTGTAACCGGCTGTTGGTTTGCGTAAAAGTTGGCATGCTCCTGGTCATCACCTGAGAGTCACAATAAGCATTAGGGGAAAATTAGTAGGATTATGTTTTAGAGTCAAAACACTGAGGGAAAACTTACAAAGAATAAACAAAATGAGCTATTTAAGAACGGATTCTTTAGACTAACATGTACTTGTTTGAAGAACTCATAGACCTTTGACTGGTGGAGAAATAGGTAGAAGTTAGCATCCTCTTCTTCCCAAGTTAAAGACACACAAGGAAAGGTTTATCAGGAGTAAAAGCAATAATCTTCTGAACAAATGTAACATGTACAGAAGAGAGGTGATATAAGATAAGATAAGACCTTTATTTAAACACGATAATAATTAAAGCTAACAGCTTGAGGGGTAGTGTATTTAGCGTATACATTATGAAGTAAGAAGAAGACTAGCTAAATAAGTAAAAGGTGAGCACTAACATCTTAATCAAAAGTAGAAAAAGTCATCATTTTTACGGCGGATAGCTGAAGCTGAAGCGATATTAAATTGAAAATCTCTAACATGAGGCTTTGTTTTCAAATTTCGAAACAGATCATTCGGGTTTTTGGGCAAGATATTACGTTCATTTGAACTTATAGTGGCAAAATGATGTGCGTGAAATAAAGAGTTCATTCGTTCTTGTTGTGTTCCAAAAGATTGCACCTCTATAGGCAAGGGAATCTTTCATAAACCTAGTTTTAAATCTTGGAACTGTCAGTGAATTGTCTCCTCTCAAAGAATAGTCATTGGAACATCTGATGTAAATATCCTTGTATAATAATTGTGGGTGAGACTCATTATGTGCTTTATAGAAAAGTTTAAAAATATCCATCTTGTAGGGTGAAAACAGAGTAGACCACTGATTATAATTAAGCACGTCGCATGATGTCATGTCTAGGCAGGTTATACATAATTCTAGCTGCTGGGCAGTGTAATCGTTCGATGGAGCATGACAAACCCGAATTACTGCATGCACCCCACAATAATTGACCATACTGTACGGACGGCAGAATTACTCTAAAATAAAAATCGTTTAGAACCTTTGTCGGTAAAAATCTAGATCGTCTCAATAAGTCTAACTTAGCTACAAAGTCCTTCTTGGTTTTCAGAACATGGTGTCCATGTAAGCTTGTAATACTACTGCTACTAATAATTATAATAATAGTTTATTAAACTCTCTTGCAGTAACTTACTGAATTAACGAGTTATGATACAATGAAAACTTAATAAGAACGACTATGTACATTTCTGTATACATTAAGTACAAGTTATATACACCACACGGAACATACATCACATTTGTTAAAAATACTTAAAAGTTAAAAAGTCTTCGGTGCGCTTCGTTCTACAGGTAGTAACGTTTCTGTAAAGATACAAGAAACGATCGTATTGAGCAGACTGATAGAGTTCCTGGGTAGTATTTCTATGGCAGACGTGTCATTCACAAACTTGACTCTCAAGTGCCAATCAGCTAAAAGATTGTTTGTCATTATTGTGAAAAGTATCACTCCTAATTTAGTTCCCTGCGGCACACCTCCCTTGAGGAATTTCCAATGTGATAGTGTTGTACCTATTCTTACAGATTGCTATCTCTCGGTTAGGAAAGCCGCGATCCAGCTGATGAGGGCTGGATCAACCTCTAGTTTTCGCAACTCAGTCATTATCATGTTGTGGTCAATTAGATCAAAGCCTTTCGAGAAGTCAGCGAAGAAGACCCGAGCTCCTAGATCAGTACAATCTACTGCCTCGTAAATGGCTTGTAACATGAATAGAAGAGCATCTGTTGTCGAGTGGCCTCTATGCGCAAACTGTCGCGGGTCGAGTTTTCCATGTAACTGTGGCAGTAGTTTATTACATGTGAATCCCTCCATGACTTTTGCCAGGGTACACGTGAGCGATATCGGGCGGAGATCGATCTTTATTTCTCTTGGTGGGTTTACCTTTGGCATTGGGGTGACGATGGAAGATTTTAGAAGTGATGGGATGTATCCCTCGTTAAGAGACTGGTTATAGATGTTTCGAATGACAGGGGCTAGTTCGTGTGCGAAGTCCTTAAGCAATTTATTTGGGATGGTGTCGGGTCCTACAGCTTTCGCCACGTTAAGCGACGACAGGGATCGAAACACTTCCTCATTGGAGACAAAAAGTTCCTCTGGTACTAGGCTTGGGGGAGAATCACGGGTCAAAGGTGTAAAATGGTCTGTGAGACTTACAAAAAAGTCATTAATCTTATTTGCAAGTAATTTGGTATTCATGGTATCCCCAAGAAACTGATGGTGCCACTCCTGCTGAATGTCTTGGCCTGTGAGTGACTTTATTTGCCCCCACCACTTACTGGAACTAGTGGATTCCACTTGAGCAACTTTATCATGATAGTAATGATTTTTAGCTTTTTTGACCTCGCCCTGTACCTTGTTCCTCCAAAATTTGTAATTATCAGAGTCCTTTCCATGTCTGAGAAATGCAGATGGTCTTTTACGAATCCAAGATTTCAATTTTTAGAGACCCAGGGACGGTCAGTTGGATGTTTCTTAACTATTTTTCGTGGGAGGAAGGAATCAATGGCAGAAGTAAGTTCCATCATCAACAGCCTGAACTTGTCTTCACAAGACTCAGTATTAAGAACCGAGTGCCAGTCCTTCTCGGTCATCCTGCGTCCGAGCGCACGCCATGCACTGTCGCGCATATCGCGTGACTCTATTTTCTTGATGATCGGTTTGTGTTCGGATGTAATTATTGGTCTGGCCAAGATGGTATAATGATCAGATGATGCGATTTTGGGCAATTGGGATACACTCGACAACTTTGGTCTATTTGTAAAAAACCAATCCAGCGTGCCTGAGTCTCTAGTCTTGAAATTTACAAGCTGCTTAAGATGGTTGGCTTGAGATATATCTTTTGACTTTAATCCTGTCGTGTGATGATTAAAGTCGCCGGTAATTAAAACCAGAGCATTTGGCTGGTTAGATAATAGCATGTCGAGATTTCTTTGAATATGTTGCCGTAAGATCACATTCTAAGGTTCACGGTTACTTGTGGAGTGGTAAATCACACCTAACACAATTAATGTAATTTGCCTTGGTAGATTACGCGGCCTCATTAATATCCAAATTCATTCGACTTCTTCTTGTTTACAAGATTCGAAGAGTTTCCATGGCACTTTGTGATCTAAATAAATACACACTCCTCCTCGTGTAGTAATTTGATCCTTGCGAAATAGATTGTAACCAGGGATAGCGACACAAGAATCTGGCA